CAAAAATGGGAAAACGAAAAATTAAATCGAACGGAGTTTGTATTATTTTCTTATTATCTATTGCAATAATATAATATAACATTTGGAATAGTAAAAAAAAAAATATATTTTTTCATATTTCAGCAGTGCAAATAGTGTCATTGAATTACGTGACATTTTTGAACATACCGAGTTACGAAGAAATTCAATTGAAGAAAATAATAATCTCTTAAGAAATGACCAAAATAGTAGCGTTTATAGCGTAAATTGTGACATCACTAATAATGTAAAAGATAGAGATCGATTAATTACGAAACAAAATTCTTTCTTGGAATTAAATGTTGCTAAAACTGTTGAAAAGCAATTAAAATCATGGTAATTCATTTAATAAAAAACTATATTCAGTTAAATGCAAAATAATATATATATATATAATATATATATTAATAATATGTTAATTTATAATAAACAGTTAAAATTATAAGAAAATATAAAATAATAGAAACTTTCAAAAAACAATTTTAATATTAATTGAAGGTTTCGTTTTCAGTATACGAACACATAATGTTGAACCATTACGAATAACGAGAAATATCGAAACATGGAGGCCCATATTGTGGTTCGCATTCATCTTCTTTCTCGGATTTTATGCAAAACAAATTATTTCAACGTTTGTTACATAATACATTAAAAAGTTTTGATAGTAAGATTTAGCATTTTTTTGTGTTACAATATTGCAGTATTAAAAAAAAATTTATTCAATGTAATAATTTACAAAGAAAAATAATAAAAGGCGTTATTTACAAATATACGTATTTAATATTCTTCATTTCCTCAATATATTACAAATTATCCACAGTTCCAATGCACACGAGTGAATTATTTTTATTATAATAATGTAAAGAGAGAATACTCGAACAATAAGTTGAGTATATTTGTGGTGATTCCGTTTCAGGTACTAGATTTGATGAATTACTATATGAAACAATATATAATAAAAATACATAATATAATAAAATATAATATAATTCTATAAAATATTAAAAATATATTTCTTTTCAATTTATAGAAATACCTTATAATGTTAAAAATTACCTATTAACAGTTTTAATATGATCATGTGTAGGCCATAAACGAATAGTGCCATCTAAACTTCCACTAGCAATGTATTGGCTATCAAAACTCCAATCTAAATTCATAATTGTGTCTTCATGGCCTTTAAGTTCTGTTAACAATGCATTAGTTGCTAAGTCCCAAACAAAAATGGATTTGTCATCACCTAAAATAAAGTTTTAATTTATAAAATATAAATTTATTTAAATAAATATATATATAGAATATTAATGCAAAAAAATATTTATATAATTACATATAAAATATATATAAAAGATTAATATATGTAAAAAAAATTAAATTTTATAGCTTATAAAATACTCATTATTTAATAAAAAATGAAATTATAATTATAATATATGTTTTACCTGCAGCTGCCAAATATTTTCCATCTGGACTAAAAGCTAAACTGTAAATTGTTGATTGCGCACCTATATATACTCTTAATAAATTTCCGTCATCTTTATCCCATAATCTCACAGTCTTATCAGCAGATCCAGTAGCTAAATATCGAGCATTTGGATGAAATTTTACACACTATAAAACATATATATAATATACATAATAAAATTAACATAAAAATTATCATCTTTCTTTTTTTCTTTACATATTTATCTTTTTTAAATTCATATATAATTTACAAAAATAAAATCTATTTCTTAATCTAAAATACGTACATTTATGTCTAAAAAATGACCAGCGAATATACGTAATGGATATATCCTATCTAAAGACCATAATTTAGCAGTTCTATCATGAGATCCTGTTGCTACATATAAATTGAATACACTAAGATCCATACACCATATAGGATAATTATGACCACTGAAACAAATTATGTATTTTTTTAATAATAATTAGTAATAATAATTAATAATTAATAATAATTATAATTTCATTTACAAAATATTCATATAAAATTAATATAAATACCTATAAATAGCTGCACATGTATAATCATTAAGTCTCCATGCCCTCATATCTTTATCACTAGATACAGAAAGTAATATATCAGATTCTGGAATAAACCTTAAATCATGTACAATGTCTGTATGACCTCTAAGTATCACTGCCCCTCCTTGAGTCCTTAAAATATAATGAATAAATATATAATTTTAAATTTTACTTAAATTAAATATATTATAATATCTTGAAATGATATTATGAAACTAAAAAATGATATTATGAAACTAAAATTATAGAAACTTACATTCTGTTCGATGTTTCATAAAATTGATGTAAAAATGGAATATTCGAGGCAAATGTGAAAGAAGGTTCTTCATACTTTGGCTTAATTAATACTGTTTCATTTATACCCCATAATCTAATTTCTGTAGTACTAAATCCTACTGCTAATTTATCCATATTCGGTGGAATTACACCACTACTCGCACTATAAAAATAAATATTTTATATGATTCTCAAAGATTCTTAATATTTTTTACACTAACCTCCAATAAAATCATCTTTTCATATAAATAAATTCCAATTTATATATAATTACTTTTCAACAGCATTATTTACTGCAAATATTCGTAGAGGTTGATGAGCATTATTTCGGATTAATCTTATAGCCTCTTGGAGTTCTCTCATTTCACGATCAGCTCCAGTACCTAATGGTTGTTCTACATATCCATTAATTCCTACTTCAGAGCGTAAACCTGTTTCTTCACAACCATCTGTATCTGTTTCAGGCACATTCATTTTTTTAATTATTGTCACATGAGTATTTATTATCTATAAATAAACCATTATATTGTTAATAAAAATTAAAAAAAGATAATTTCATTAACAACTTGTTGTATTTAATGTTTGATATATTATAATTTTATTACCTGCATTAATATTATATGTCCATGTTTTGAAAGAAATTGTTGAAGACATAAATGAGCAACATCAGACATATCCACTTTATATTTTCTGGTTCTAAATGAATTTACTAAAGGTCTTAATTCAATATCTTGTACTGAAAACACACTAGATAGTTCTTCTAAAAAATCTTTTTCTGTTTCACTATTGAATTCATTTTGATGTGTTTTTAAAAATTGAATTGCTGCTTGCCTGTTACCAGCATGTAGCATCTCTAAATACAAGTGACAAAATACAGGGTATAGAAGCCCTTTTAATTCCATTTTTAATTTATCATCGAGTACAATATTTACCCACATCTTTAATCTAAAGAAAATATTTATTTTTAAAATAAAATAAACAATAATTATATATAATCAAATTAATGCATTAAAAAGATATATATTCAGTTATAAAAATTTTAAATACAAAAGGATGTACCGCTGATATGCTTGATCTGCAGCAGCAACATCAATACTAATGGCACTAAAAATAATTGAATTATCTTGAGATGTGGCAGAAGCAGCAGTTGCATTCAGAGTCATTTCATCACTTGTTCTACAATATACTTGATTGTTTTTACAAAAAACGTCGCTAGTCTATAATTAATATTTAAAAATAATAAGAGGTTATGTCATATTTATTAATTCTAATTTAAATTTAAATAAAATTATTGAAATAAAAATAAGAATGTAACCTGCCTGATAATGACGTCGTTTTAAATATGATTCAATTGTAGCATTAATTAATTCGCTCTTTAAACGTTTCATCTTTTTACAACCGTACGTTGGTTATTTTCAAGAGAATGAAAAGATTCAACCATACGAAAGACATTAAGTAATACAAATTATTTAAATATTAAATTAATTATTAAAGTACAGAGTTTCAACAATTACTTATAAAATCAATCGAATGCAAATAATATTTATATTTTATTAATAGTTAATAAAACAAATCTTGAGATTAACCGCTATTATTAGATATATATTTTCATTGATAAAATAAATTAAAATTTAAATAAAATTTTAATTAATAACATTGGGCATATTATTTTCATTATAATATTTTTTTTAAACTTTCATACTTTATTAAACCTTATTTATAACGTACAAATCTATAAACAAATAGTTGCCGCCCGTCAGTCATTCTGAAAATATATAATCAAAAACATATCTTTTCCCTAGAAAATGATTTGTTGTTCTTTGTTGCTATTGGAATTACTAGAATACATATTTTTATTTATATGCAAGTATAGAATAAATAATAATTATAATTTTTTATAAATATCTTTTTTTCTTTATTTCTTATCATCGAATTTAAATTATTTACAAATTATATTTATATATGAACTTTTTAAAATATTAACAATTAATAATATATAGAACTGTTCAATATTTCAGTAATTTTATATAGGAATTTTTTAGAAATTTATAACTAGAAATAAAGACAACATAGATAAGATACAAAATAGATCTATTATTTATTATATCAAAATGATAATCATAAACATTAAACAATAAATCAAATTAATCATTTTATATTTTTTTATGTTCTAAATTAACAATCATGCAAGTATAAATTTTGCAAAGTAAATATAAACAAGAGCAAAAGGGAAAAGAATAGAAATAAAGTAAAAATATTCAAATTAGCGCCATCTCCAGAATGCTGCAAATGAGCACATAAAGAATAGCAAATGAAAAAAAGAGATATAGATAAGAATTAATCTTCAGCGCCATCTTTTGAACGTTAAATATGTTTTGGAAAAATAATTTTTATAAATACTTAGAGATAACATTGATCCTTAATTCTTATTTTATTTTATTTTTTGCTTTCAAAAAAATGTCTTCGTAGTATTTAAGAAATAGCACTGAGTTAATTTTTACTCTATCTCAATTTTTTTTTATTATTTATTATGATTATAAAAATTATAATAATATTTACAAAATTATATATCTATATATCTATATATATCATATATCTTATATATCTCATTATATATAATATAAATGCTTTATTATAAAATTTTGTTTTTTATTTGTTAATGACATAATTATATATTAATATTTAAATAACTATCTATCCATTTTTGATCTAAAAAAAATATATATATTATATTTTTAATATATATAATATAGTAATGATATAGTAATGATTTTTATGTATATCACTGATATATAAAAATCATAATAGAATATTAACATTTTTAATGCTTTTATAAGCAATATTTTTTCATTATGTAATTATATAATTTTTAAAAATATATCATTGACTAAAATTATTAAAATTATTAAATATTGAAAACTTACAAATTGGAACACAGTAAGTTTAATCTTGTGGTAAAACATATCGTATATGTGAAGACATCAGCAAATGGATCATTATCATTTTCAAAATTTTCAAATTCTTTTAATCTGTAAAATATGAAGAAATAATACAAATATTTTAATTCAAATAATAATATATTTTAAAATATATATTTCAAATAATAGCATTTATATTAACCTTACAATAAAATGTTTGGATTTATTGTTCAATATTACGTTTAGATAAATTAAAAATTGTGGGAAGTATTGCGTTACGGAAATCACCAATTTTTATTAAATTATATTGTTCTGAATTATTATTTTTGTTAAGGCTTTGTGTAATTAACGAACGTAATATTAGAATATCTATGCCAAACAATATGGCATTCATTATGAAGCATTTTTGCAAACCAATCAAAAACACCAATCTTAGCTACATTATTCCATTCTATTCCATTATGCCAATCATATACCTGTAAAATATATAAAATTGTATCCAAATTGTACATAAAATATATATTTTAAAAGAAAAGATTTTTAATGATAGTAAATTATTAATCTCTATTTAATATAATGTAATTTTTAGTGGAAAATAACTTACAATACATTGACAAACTTGACTAAGTGTCTGTCGAAAATCTGTCATTAATGCCATAAATGATTCAGGACCTTTAGTATAGAGCAATACAATATCTCTGTTTATATTAATATCTTCCCATTTTATTTTTTTTAATATCCTATAAAATATTTGATATATTGTATTTATTAATTCTAATGATTTTATGATTAAAAATATTTTTAAAGAAATATTTTTTTCTTACTTTATAAATACACATAATATAAATGAGGTACATAATTCCAATAATTGTAAATAAAGTTATAATAATAATTGGGAAATAAGAAAATTTATGAAAATTAATGTTGATTGGAATATTATGAGATATTGTATTTATATTTTGACAACCTATAATAAATTTCTATATTTCATCATATATATATGATTAAATAAAAAAAATATTATTAAATTATATTTAAATTAAAGGATATTAATTATTATTGCCTAAAAAAATAAGGAAAATATATAAATATGACTATTAATTTACTTACTTTTATGCCAAAAACATTTATGAAGTGGTGACCATAAAGTGTTATTTTTATATCTTATATCATCACATAAATATATTGTTGCACAATAGTTGGCTTTTCCAAGATTTGTTTGCTAATAAGTATTATAATATTAAAATTATAATAGTTTACTTTTTGTTTATTAAAGTGATAGAATTTAATTATACAAATATTAAGCATAAAACTTACCCAAATTCTATTTAAATTATGATTATTATCTTCTAATTATAAATCACATAACAATTTTAATATACTTTAATTTATTTATATTACTACATCATAAGATTACTCATTATATATGTTATATAAAATTTTTATATACATCATAACATATATATATATATACATTATATAAAATTTTTAATTAATTATATATTTTATATAATGATTAAGTATTATATTTTAGAAAATATAAAACAAAAAATATTATAATAATTAAATTACCAAAAGATGGAAATTCCAGTAACCATCAGGAACATCTTCATCATTAAAAAAACAAATATCATTGTACAATATACCCAACTTTATCTGAACTGTAATTATGGGTATAGGGGAGTATATGTCAAAATATATCCATCTTTTATTAATTTTTTTTTAAAATTCTATTTTAAAACATTTTATATAAATCTATTTATAAATAATCATAATATAAACTTACTTGTTTGTACTATTAAGTTCGATATATTCATATGTACATTGCAATATCGGTTCTACAATATCTGTTCTTTCATAATTAGTTCTTAAGAATTTATTATTTTTTATCATTTTTATCATTTTTGTATCTTGAAAATTAAATTGAACAGAATAACATGCTGTAAATACATATGGAACAAATATTCCAGTATTCTAAAAACAATTTCTTTTATTCTAAATTCTTTAGAAAGATTAATAATTTATAATTATAATACAAATTAGAATTTTGTATATATGTATATGTGTACTAATTGTGTATTAATACCTGATATTGCTTATTATTTGAAACAAAACATATAATATTTCTACTATGTATTTCATTTTTATATGAATTATTAAAATTATAATTCATACATTTTTTTTCATTGATTGATTCATTTAAGTTAATAAAATAAGCTCATATTTACATATATTTTTTGGTGGTTTAAGTTTAATCTGTATGATACCTATAATATGTAAAATATCAATTTTAAAATATTATTATTTTATATATATACATATATATAAAATAAATAAAATTTACTTATATTTTATATATATATATATATATATAATGTATTTTTACAATTGAAGTTTTCTTGTATATAAATATTTACTTACCAAGAAATTTAGAAATTTTATCTATTATTGAAAAATTAACATCAGTAGAAATATCTTTATTTGTACAAAATTTAATTGTAGGTAAATTATTTGAATAATTTATGGATGTTTTACAATCATTGGTATCGCAAATATACTGTAAATAAAAAAATTTTAGATAAAATGAAATACTATTTTATTTTTGAAAATTATATTGAAAAGTAAAAATAATGAATATATATAGAAATTAAAATAATAATCAAATATAAAATTTAAATATTTAATTTCTTCTTAATATCTGATACTTACGTCACATTTTTTTTGCATATAATGAAGATGCAATAAAAAATGCAATAAGAAATATCACATAACCTTTAAATATAACTAAATACATACTTCGAAAAAATTTTATTAAAAATTTTATACAAAGTTATAATTTTTGAACTATTAAATTTTCCGTAAATTTTTTATATTTATTTACAAAAATAATTATAAATATGCTGATCGAAAAATTAACAATTATATTTTATTTCATGTTTTATTTTGTGTTATTGTTTTCAGAATATTTAATATGGCATAATTATATATTCAATTATAATTAAAAAATATCATAAAGATAACAATCTTTAAAAATAAAGCAATCTTGCATATTTGCATACGCATACTTATTTATATATATTTATCATTCATAAATACTTTTAAACTATTCAATTATTCAGATTCTCGATTTTTGATTTCTGCTTTAATTAGTTATTTTAATCTGTTTTTATTCACAGAAACAATTGAGTAAAAAAATTATTGATATATTCTGTGATTCTTAATTATTATCCAACTAAATGTATTTTTTTTTATATTAGTTATTGTTTTTTTTTTAATTGAAATAAGTTTTTCACAATTAAAAAATTAAAAAAGCATTTTAAATCTATATCTAAAAATTATAATATATCTATTCAACAAAATAAGAAGAAAATAAATTTAAGATACAAATAAAAATTATTATTTTTATATTTTAATGATTACTATAATGCAAAAATAATGCAACATTATTTTATATGTATAAATAATAAGTATAAAAAACAAGTGAATTATGGAAATGAATTAGATGCACATCAAACACTGTTATACATATGTATACATATATTTCATACGACCACATGTAAGTATATGAGCGTGCGTATTTAATAACGCAGTTGTCTTGAAATTATATACATTTTCTAATACTTGTGGTTATAAGATTATTCATAATAAATATTACATAATTATATTCTTATTTGTAATTAACAAATGATATTTGTCATATAAAGTAGTAATTATGCGAAAAATTGAACTCAAACAATTTAAAAAACATACTTTAATTGTATGCTTCATACTTGCTTTTTTTTGAAATAAAAAAAAATAAACTTATAAAACATAGAATGTGCGAAGTAATCAAAAAACAAATGATTGCAAACAATATTATCTATATATACTTTTCACAGCCTATTTTACTGTAAATTTCTTTTTAATTTTTGTTTAAAAATAACATATTCCAATATTGCTGAGCAAACAAACAAATATGTCATGTCATTATTGTATTATGCATGAAATATAATATAATGAATATCCTGTTAATAAAACTTACACACTATAATAAAAATTATAGAAATTAAGAAAATTAATACTAACAAAAAATATTTATCGAGCGAAATTTATAAGTTTTTAAAATCGAGCTCAAGACTTATTTGCGAGAGATTTCAAATACAATTTACAGGAAATTAGAACCACATAAAAAAAATTTTTTCCAGATTTTAAAATTTGTTTTTACGAAAAAATATCATGTTCAATGTGTACTAAGATAAATACATGAAAAATTCTTAAATATTCATTATAGCTAGCAATATAAATTTCCTTGATTCTCAATCACATATTTTTCTACATACTTCGCAGCTTTCTCACTTAAACCAAGATTAGGTAACTCTTTTTTAAATTGTTCGAGCGTTCCAGCACCAGCGATGTAACCGTTTAATTTAGCAGCTAGAGGTGAATTTCGAAGAAGCTCATCACTAGTAAGACCGGTATTTTCCATTAACCATGGATGTTTTCGAAGTCGATATTTCTGATGATAACTAAATTAATAATAAATTAATTATTTAAAAATAATAAGAATTATTTGTATAAATATTTTAATTCATTAAAAAGAATCGAAAATATATTATCGATATGTATATCTATTAATCTAATAAAAATTAATTTATGATAAATGATATTAATAATTGTTGGAATTCATATAATAATATTATTGGAATACGCACAATAATTTAAAATTAATTTTTAAATTATTTTAAAAATTAATTTTTAAAAATATTTTTCTATAAAAATTTATTAAAAAATTTTATAAATTCTCTATAAAGTTCTATTAAAAAAAATTTTACAAAATATTATAACATGTACTTACTCTTCTGCTAGATAAAACTTTTCGAATTTTCTAATTTCAGTAAGAATCAAATCTGTATGTTTATATTGCTCTTGTTCACGTGATTTTTCAGCTAATAATTTTTGTTCTTCATCATGATATAAAATTAATGACATATACTAAAAGCAATAATACAAATATAATCATTTTTATATAATTAACAAAACTAAAAATTAATAAGAGACTAGTCATATTTACCTGTCTCTTGATTTTTGTAGTGAGACCATATTCATGATTTTGCCAAAATAAAGCAAGTAATTGTGAATATGATACAATATTTGGATTATACTCAACATCAACGACTTCCGTATGATCACCCCTGCCAATAAAAATAAAAAAATTGATATTATAACAGATATAAACAGATTTCTATTAGAAATGAAAAATAAAAATAAAACATACATATTTTTATAAGTTGGTGATTCTTTTTGTCCACCTGCATATCCAACACAAGTTCTAATTACACCAGGTAAAACGCCAAATAAACAATCACCAGCCCAGAAACATCCCATTCCAAATGTTGCGCGTTTTGCTTGAATTTCTTCGAATTGTCCTGGCATTTTGTTCGACTATTATCACAAAATGAATAGAATTATATAGAAGAATATAAAAATAGAAAATTATATAAATAATAGCTAAAATTAAATGAACTAAATTAAAATATTAATACGATGTATAAGAAAAAATCTTTCGATTCATATATCATCATGGTGTTATTTTGATCTGATCCAATAAAGAAATGTAAAACCTGTTAAGTAACGGTTACATTGAAAATGATTAAAGTGATTAAATAATGTTATTTTTCTATTAAACATTATTAAATAAAATCATTTTCTTTTCAATCTCTAATTATAACAATTTTTCATTTTTTAGATTTTTCAATATTAATAGAATTAATCAACTTTAGATAATATTAATTTTTTTAGTTTAAGTTATATTGGGTATTTTAAAATAAGAAAAAATATGAATAAAAATATGAAAATTACAATAATTAGAATATTTTGATGTTGTTTCTACCTGAAGATTTATGTTTATTTAAAAAATTATTTCGTTTAGTGATGATTGACCTCATATTTTTATGATTAGAAATAATTCTTTCATGACACCCGTTATGCATAAATTACGGACCTGACGCGTGTACAAAAAAAGCGTGAAGGAATATACAGAGTGAACTATATAACTTGATTACCTCGTTTCTGTTTTTAATAAGATTGGTTTCAAACGTGTTATTTCGTAATACTATTATTTTTAAAATGTAAAAATCTTTTCTATCTTTGAATTAAATAAAATATTAATTTTTTTTCTATAATAAAAATTATATTAATTAATTTCTTAAATTTTTTTACGAAGTTATTAAAAAGATATACATTTATATTTTTATATTTTAATTATTTTAACTATTTGAATATATTAGAAATAGAATTATAAAAAAATACTTGAAAATTTATTGGTATATCTTACAAGATACTTAAAATGCTATTCATCAACTACAATGTACTTGATTAAAGAATCTATCTAGTTCAATCACATTAACACGATAATACGTAATCAACATTATTACATGTCGTCATTAAATATTTTTCAATATCATTTAGATATTGAAAACAACTTTTATAAATTTTCTATTAAAAAATACAAAAAAAATTATATAAGTAATTTATTATAACAATTTATTATAATTTTTCTATATTTTTTTATTTAATATGAAAGATTTATAAAAATATTTTTAAAATGTTTGTCCTACTTCTTATTAAGAGTAATTAAATAAAAATAATTATATATAAAAAACAGAAATGAAAATGAAAGTTATATATAAAAAGATAATACAAAGAGTGCAAGATTTCAAATATCTAATTTGAAAAATCAAATACTATAATAAAAATCTAATTTTATTAAATAAATGACAGAAACAATTCAAATGATTTAGATAATTATTTACTTACATAAATCATTTTATATGAAATGAAAGATGATCCAATAAAACACTTTACAAATTTAAATTTATGCTTCAAGTTTTATTGAAGACGATTTAGACGATTAATAAAAAGAATTTTAAAGTAAAAGATTAGTATTCATAAAAAAATAATGCGAATTCAAAAATAATTTAATCTATTAACTTATATTATTGATATGATATTGATATGATATAACTTATATTATTGATATTTTAATTAATATTAATAACATTTTTTTAATTTTTACAGAAATATTATACATAAAAAATAAAATACATAAATTTCGAATAATATTAAAAAAATAATTTACCTTAATCTACAATAAAAAAGAAAATTATTTAAAAAAAATAAATGAAGAAATAAAAGTACAATAAAAATTCACTTCAAATTCAACGAAAGGTATCTCGTTGATGACTGAAAGAACACAAGAAACTACCGCGTGCTTCAGCAGTTCTACTTTTTATCTACGTTATCCCTTCTCTTTCTCTTTTCCCTACTCTGCAATATATTACGAACCCACTCCATTCTCTTACACATAAATCGTTGCTTTTGTTTCAATCATCAATTTAATTTGCTAATTTTGCTGTTCTAGTATTTCTGTACGTTCCATTATAGCGCTAATTAATAGTATTAAAAATTGTATTTTGAACTTCACAGGATATTTTTGATGGTAATTGTTATTCGTATTTTTTATTTTATCGTATTTCATTAAAATTTTTATATTTTTATACATATATTATATACATATATAATATTATATATAATATAAATTATTTAGTAAATAACTAGGATTTAGTAAAATTAATAATAATCAATAAAAATTTGTTAATGTATTAAGACGTATTTATTTTATATAAATACGTATGAATGATAAATATTTTAAAAAAACGCATATAATTTAAAATACTGATCCAAAGAATGTAGCTAAAAATATCAATATTAACCTCTCTTATGAGAGATACGATGTCATCAATCGATGTCGAATCTCATAATATATAGGATATGTTAATTGTCAATTTAACAGAGTTCGACAAGTTCTTCATGTGAGTTGCATCAGAAAATTGAAGCCACATGTGTTCGTTAAATTAGATAACAATTGCTGGACCGACTGACGTAATCTTTCTACCATGCGTGCTAAGCTCAGTAGCTCGACAGCTACAATTCAAAAAAGCGGTGTTATCACGACATTGATCATATAAAGAGGTTATTATCATATCTGTTACTTTCTATGTATTAAATATTTGTACCGATAAATAGTATCTAATGTAATTTGTTAATTTACCAATTTTTATTGAAACATAACAGTATCAGAATAATTTGATTTTTATTTTAAATATGAAACAAGCACAAATTTGATCATACACAATTTCACAATCATAAAAAATATCGGATTTAATAACATAATAAATCTAAACAAAAGCAACCTAATTGACAAATATCATAAAGTAGTGCAGTGATATGACATACCAAGCAGCGATAGCTGATTACGACTAAACTTCTACGTAGCAAGAGGATTAAATTTGATGTCACCATCTTCAATAGAAATGCCTATCGATAAGTGTTCTGAAAGAAGAATCATTCATATGGTTTATTAACTTTATCGCTATTAAAGACAGAAAATAAAATAATTTAAATCATTTTTCAATCGATTTAGAATCTTATAAGTTTGTTATTGAACATTTATCATTCGTGTAGAATATAAATATTTTGCTCAATTAAATAAATTGATTTTATAAATATCTGGTGCAATGAAAAAACAATAAATTTTATATATTTACTTTTATTCACAATTGTTTTATTCTTCGAAAATTTAACCAGTTTTTGACTAATGTGACCATCATGTGGTTATCACGTTCAAATATTTTCAAAAAAGCAGTTACAATAGTATGTATATTAAAAACACTTTAAATCATATTTTTACAATAAAAAATTATATCTTATATTACCAATATAATTTATTGAAATGAATATAGATTATAAAAATTTTATGTAAATATAAAAAAAAATTTATTTTATTAAAAAAAATACTGTTTTATTATCTATTTTTACATAATATGTTTAATGTG